TTCTAAATCCCATCCTGTTTGGTTGATAAACAAGGGAGTTATAGCCATTTCAAGTTTCAGCCAATCAGATTGCAGCGCACGTGCATGCGCGTGATTTGTTGAATTTTTTTCCATATTATATTGTAGGATATCCTAATTCATGACTATGTTTTAGATATTAAAGCATTTCGTCAAAAAACAAAGGAGATATAGCCATTTAAAGTTTCAGCCAATCAGATTGCAGCACGCGGGCATGCGCATGCTTTCATGAAAATTCTTATATATCATGCTGTAGATCTTCATAATTTAGGTCTATGTTCAAAATTTCAAAGGATTATGACAAGAAACAAGAAAGATATTGAGACTTAAGTTCCAGCCAATCAGAGCGAAGCGCACGTGCATGCGCGTGAGGTCTTACTTTTTTGACCACGTCATTTTGTCTATGCTTCTAATATATACTTATAATATGAGTTTCAAAGCATTTCATCAATAATTTAAATAGTTACGTCGGTATAAATTATATTGGACATTTCTCGTGTTGCACGTGCGAGCTCTTGCAAGCACATGTGCATGCACATGCATTCATGATAAATCTTATCTTACAGTCTGTAGATCTCCCTAATGTATGACTATGTTCAAAATTTCAAATGATTTTATCAAAAAACAAAAAAGATATTGAGACTTTAGTTTCAGCCAATCAGAGCGAAGCGCACGTGCATGCGCGTGCAATCTTGCTATTTTGACCATGCCATCTTGTGCTTACTACTAATATATCCTTACTTTATAAGTTTCAAAACATTTCGTCACAAAATAGAAAAGTTACGGTTATATCCATTGTATATTGGTCATTTTAAGTTTTGCACGTGCGCGCTCTTGCAAGCACGTGCGCGCAAAATGACCTTGATTCCGCAAATCTACATAACATGCCTACTTACCTGTCACGTGGTCAAGCTGGCTATCTCCAAGAATCACACAAGTTCAATAAGTTTAATAAATTTATTTACAAAAAAAAAAATAATAATAACAAAGATCTCATACAAACTTACCACACACAAATTCACACCCTCTTTCTCACTATTAAACAATTAAACAAAGAAAAAAAACAATTGGTAATCAACAATTACCCAATTAACAAATTCATTAATCAGCCAATCACCCCGGGTATCTAATTCAGTTATTAATGCCAAACATGTTCACAGATCATAGATTATCCTCGTCATCATCACGATCATCATCATCAACATCATCCTCATCCTCGATGCAGGAATGAAATCAAAAGTTTGCCTTTTCTTATAAAGCGCTAACTCAAAGTTTCTTGGATAGACTTATCTGTTATCCGTTCACCAACAAATATTTGGATCCACGCACAGCACTCTTTCGGGTCTTAGTCCCTGGAACCTTTCGCCGTCACAATGATCCCCTCAGCTCAGTCTATGTATCAAGCACAGGTCATACCAATATCCATGACGCACGGACCTGTCTCCGTGCCAGTGTCAAAATATTGCATGTACTGCTGCTATGTACATATACTAGCTGCTTCGAATCAGAAACGTGTCTGCAGCTACGCTTCTCTGCCGGGAATGACCAGGCCTCAATTGTTCTGGTCGGCTAAGCTATTTTGCAAGGACTTATGGGAATAGTATGCATAGGGACAAAACGCGGGAAATTCAAATTATATACGCAAGTGCAATAGTGATTGTTACACAACTCCCCCCTTAATTAAAAAATGGTAACATTTTTTTTTTACACAACAATCACTACTAACTTGCCCTTACAATTTTGAAATAACTGAACGTATTTACAAAATTCTGAATACAAACCTGGCTAATTTCTCCTTAGCTGATTATTGGCGACTAAGGTAATCTGCGCCTGACGTTTTGGCCTCCCTTTATAGCTTCTATCCGGAACCGATAAGGTTGTAATTGTAGAGCCCAGCGCATTAACCTCGAGTTCTCTGTTTTGGACTTGTTAAGGTATGTTAATGGCTGATGGTCAGTCTCCAATACAAACTCACGTCCATAAAGATATTGATGGAACTTCTGAATTCCCCATACTACTGCTAAGCATTCCTTCTCTATAACAGCGTATGATCTCTCTCTGGGTTGCAGTTTTCTGCTTGCGTAAGCTACTGGAAGCTTCTCTCCATGTTCTTCCTGCAAAAGAACTGCTCCTAGTCCGTCATCTGCAGCATCTGTTCGTAAGATAAATACTTCACTGAAGTCTGGAAGTTTCAGAATTGGTTCTGAGGATAACATCTGTTTTAGTGTATCGAATGAACGTTGCTGAATGTCTGTCCAAACTACTTTGTTGGGTTGTCCTTTCTTTGTCAAATCTGACAGTGGGACGGCAATCGCTGAAAAATTTGGTATGAATCTTCTGTAGAATCCTGCCAACCCCAAGAACGATCTAACCTGCTTCTTTGTCATGGGTACTGGAGCATTTCGAATAGCTTCTATCTTGTTTAAATCTGGTTTTAGTCTCTGGTCACCTACTATGTGTCCTAAACAGTCTATCTGATCATATCCTATGAAACACTTAGACGGTCGCGCTGTAAGTCCTGCTTTCCTAAGTCTGGTGAATAACTCTCTCAGTGCCATCAGATGTTCCTCCCAAGTATCTGAGTATACGATGATATCGTCTATGAAGTTGTCAATCCCCACCATGCCGTGTAGAAGTTTCCTCATCAGTCGGCTAAACGTCGCCGGCGCATTCACTAATCCGAATGGCATAGTACGAAATTGATACAAACCAGACGATGTTGAAAAGGCTGTGAGAGCTTTACTATCTTCTTCCATAGGAACTTGCCAGTACCCTTTACTCAAATCCAATTTCGAAACAAACTTCTTCCCTGTCATCTTTGAAAATATACTCTCTGTGTTCGGCATAGGCTCGGCGTCAAAGACTGTAATAGAGTTTAGTCTACGAAAGTCTATGCAGAATCTGTTTGTTCCGTCCTTTTTCCTAGCTATGACTACCGGTGATGAATATGGTGAGACAGATGGTTCTATAACATTCAACTGTAACATCTTCTCCACTTCTTCCTTTATGACACCCTCGGTATTGAAAGGAATAGGATACTGCTTCACCCGTATTGGATTTGATGATGTCAGTTCAATCTTATGCTTAACTAGTGTAGTCATTCCTGGAACGTCAGTGAGAACATCAGCATACGACTCGCACAAAGATTTCACCGATTCTAGTTTATCAGCTTCCAGTCCCTCATTGAAACGTACATCTGACACTGTTTCTGTCTGAGTATCTGTTGGTAACATCATTGAATTCTGCTCATCAAGTGTTCCCTCTTCACTGAAGTCAATAAGTGATATGGCGCAAGTTGTAAGAACTCCACAGTGTATTTCCTCACGAGGAATGTACTGTTTCAACAAATTCGCGTGAAGTGTCTTTACTTTACTTCCCATCTCAACTTTGTAATCCATATCGCCAACTTTCTGCACAACTTTATATGGTCCTCGCCACTGCATCAAGAGTTTATTTGACTTTGTCGGAAGTAGAACAAGTACTTGGTCACCAACTTTCATCCTTCGATCCCTTGTTCTCTTATTGTAATGCTTTCTCTGATGCTTCCTTGCTTTTTCCAATTGTTGATGAGCAATCTTACATGTCTCTTCAAGTTTCTCCTTTAAGTCTAGTATATTGGTAAGTAGTCTTCACCTCACTGTCTGGTATGTCCTTGGTCCACAACTCCTTGAGTATCATCATCGGACCACGCACTGATCGACCATAGAGTAGCTCAAAGGGTGAAAATCCAAGGCTCTCTTGAGGTATCTCTCGATAAGCGAAGAGAAGTGCGTTGAGGTACTTGTCCCAGTCTTTTGGGCGTTCAGCACACATGCGCTTCAGCATCTGCTTTAACGTACCGTTGAATTTTTCAACAAGGCCGTTGCACATCGGGTGATACGGCGTTGTAGTTAGGCGTTTGAGTGACAGCAATCTGCTTACTTCCTTCATAACCTCAGATGTAAACTGCGATCCTTGGTCTGTAAGCATTTCTGAAGGAACACCAACTCTGCTGAAAACGTCTACAAGCGCCTCTGCAACTCGTTCCGTTTCGATTCCTTTAAGTGCCACAGCTTCTGGATACCTGGTCGCATAGTCTATAATAGTGAGGATATATCGATTTCCTCTGTCTGTGACTGGCTGAAGCGGACCAACAATATCCACAGCTATGCGTTGAAATGGTTCTGATATCATGGGCATTTGTCCAAGAGGAACTGCAGGTACTCTTCCCTTAGGTATTGTTCGTTGGCATACGTCACACGAACGACAAAATCGCTTGACATCTGCTTGTACTCCTGGCCAAAAGAATTCTGCTAGTATTCTATCTGTAGTCTTCTTAACACCCAAATGTCCTGCCATAAGACATTCATGAGCCATCTTCATAACCATTGGTCTATACTTCTTCGGAACCATCAACTGTCGATACGTCTTTCCATTTGACACCTTTGGACTACTGAATTCTCTGTAGAGTAATTGCTTCCGTATAAACATCCTGGTTGAACCTCCATCACCGAGCTCCTTTACTGTCCCTTGTTTAGCAATGTCCCAACTCTTGCTTAGCGAATCGTCCTTCGTCTGTTCACTTAACATCTCATCACGTGATACATCTTGTAGAGTTTCAGGAACCCTCAGTGGTTTATAAGGCAACTGCTTCTTCTTAAGTTGACTGCGTGTCTCAACAGCAAATGAAGGTTTAGAAGTTTTCATCCAATGAATATCCGGGTTGTCTGGTTTCCGAACACCATCAAAATTCCCAAGAATCAGATCAAACATCGGTGTTTCGAAGCATGAGACTTCAATTGTTCCAGTAAAATATGGTGTGTCAGCTTCAACTATCGCAACATCTGCATCTACTACACTTCCGTCAGCAAGCATGCATTTGTGAGTTTTTCCAGTCAGTTGGTTTGACGTAACCAGACTTTTCCGAATCACCGCACCACGACATCCGATATCTCTTAACACTGTCAAAAGTTTATCGCCAACACATCCTTTCACAACTGGCATCACTCCATCATCAACTGAATTAATGTCACTTTGCGTCTTATGCGCACCAACATGAGAAGAGTCGTGTTCTTTCCTTGCGAAAAGCGACGTCCATTTTTGTTGAATCCCTGTTGTGGTTTCTGTGGTCTATCAAATTTTTCCTGTGTGTTTGTCTTAATTGCTGATGACTTCCTCAAAGGACAATCAAACTGCTTGTGTCCATATTTATCACAATAAAAACACTTGATTCCACCACTGGTTTTGGTTCCTTCACTAGAACTTGGAAAAGATAATTGCTTTCCAAAGGAAACTTTCTTGTCGAAGATCGGTCTTTGGGTAACAGCTGATGAACAAGTTGCTCTCGCCTCAACATACTGATCAGCATATCTGGCCATATCCTGAATAGAAGGAGGAATTCGTTCCTTCAAGAATAAGGAAAGTTCTTTGTTACAACACAAAATGAATTGTTCACGTAACATCAAGTCTTTGAGCTCTTCATAAGTCTTAACTGTTTTCGATAACTCCATCCATCGTTCCATGTAACTTTCAAGTCTAGTTGAAAACTGAATAAAGGTTTCACTACCATCAGGTTTTGAAGATCTGAATTTCTTTCTGAATGCATCCTCAGTCATGTCAAACCGTTTCATCAGTGCTTTCTTAAGTTCATCAAGTTGAACGCACTGTCTGGTGGTAATCTAAGCGAACACATCCAACGCTTTTCCTTTTAGAAGTGCACTCAAGTGAGCTCCCAATTTTGTCTTTGCCATTGCTGTGAGATAGCGTATCTTTCAAATCGCTGTATGTACGCGTCGATGTTGTCTTTTACCTCATCAAACGCTGGTAATTTTGGTCCTCTAACAGGTTGTTGTGTTTCAGTGTGATGTAGCGCAGTTGACTCAAGAACTTTATGTGATCTCTCTGCTGCCATCATTTGAAATCTGTGATCTCATTTCCATTTCTTCAATTTTCCTCTTGTGTTCAGCCTCAGCGTTTTGTTCCTTCATGGATTCGAGTTCCAGCTGATATTCGCGCTCCTGTTTAGCCATACGTTCTGCACGATCTTTCTCACGTTCGTCTCTAAGTCTTGCCTGTTCATTGTTCACAAACTGTTGAAGTTCTGCATCCTTGAGTCCCATTTGCGTCCCAACTTCCAAGAGTTCCTTCATCTCCTTGATGGTTGTCATCGTGCCTATAAGTACTGAGCCGCCTTACCAAAGACTTTAATGATCCAAGGATAATATTCTTTCTAATTAAGAAATATGTCTCACGTCACCTTACCTTTAACCTATGAAAGGGAGCACCATGCTTTCACTTACCTCTGTGTAACTATACAGGAATCCCAAGAGTAACTACTACCACTAACCTAACGTATATTTACAACTACTTGGCAAACCTACACCTACTTAGTGAAAATGTGTAATTTGGGGACGGTCAGCAATCCCACCGCTGCCACCAAATGTCACGTGGTCAAGCTGGCTATCTCCAAGAATCACAAGAGTTCAATAAGTTTAAATAAATTTATTTACAAAAAAAAATAATAATAACAAAGATCTCACACAAACTACCGCACACAAATTCACACCCTCTTTCTCACTATTAAACAATTAAACAAAGAAAAAAAAAATTGGTAATCAACAATTACGCAATTAACAAATTCATCAATCAGCCAATCACCCCGGGAATCTAATTCAGTAATTAATGCCAAACATGTTCACAGATCATAGATTATCCTCGTCATCATCACGATCATCATCATCAACATCATCCTCATCCTCGATGCAGGAATGAAATCAAAAGTTTGCCTTTTCTTATAAAGCGCTAACTCAAAGTTTCTTGGATAGACTTATCTGTTATCCGTTCACCAACAAATATTTGGATCCACGCACAGCACTCTTCCGGGTCTTAGTCCCCGGAACCTTTCGCCTCACAATGATCCCCTCAGCTCAGTCTATGTATCAAGCACAGGTCATACCAATATCCATGACGCACCAAACCCGTCTCCGTGCCAGTGTCAAAATATTGCATGTACTGCTGCTATGACAAACCAGCTGCTTCGAATCAGAAACGTGTCTGCAGCTACGCTTCTCTGCCGGGAATGACCAGGCCTCAATTGTTCTGTTCGGCTAAGCTATTTTGCAAGGACTTATGGGGAAAGTATGCATAGGGACAAAACGCGGGAAATTCAAATTATATACGCAAGTGCAATAGTGATTGTTACATTACCCTAAAAAGGTTTCACCTAAGTCGGATGTGTAGTATACAAGATCACTCGCGGACAAAATTTTCCCAGGAAGAAAAATAATAAAAAATAATAATAATAAGAAACAGAAATAAAAAAAATATGTTCCCCAACTTCGTTTGGGGGAAAATAATAAAAACATTTTGGCCCCTGGCGATCCCTTATTACATAACATATGATCAAAATATTATAACATATTGTTGCATATCGTTAAAATGAAAAATCTTTGCTTCTCAAAATGTATACTTAATACAAAATATGCATCATTAAAGAGTTAAAGACTTCTGGCCCCCTAGCCCCCAATTTGATGAGAGGGGACCTTTTTCTTGATATCAAACGTTAGGTCTTGTGATTTCAAAGACTTTTTGTTCTACACCTATTCAGAGATTTCTTTTCGTTTAGGAGATATGCTTTATATAAATATTTAGGGGCCACCCTACAAGTCCTTAATGGGGCCGTTTTACAAAAATTCAAAGTATGCATATTTTTAGCACTTTAAATTCTGACTTTTTTTCAATATTCTTATCAAAATTTTCCCCCTTTTCGAGATATAAGCGTCAAAGATTTGACATTCTGGCCCCTTGTGACCCCTATACGTAACATAAAATCAAAATTTTATAATTTTTATCGTTGCAAATCGTTAATATGAACATTTTTGCTTCTAAAATCCTTTAAAAATTTTGATCATTAAAGATTTTAAAGATAAAAGACTTCTGGCCCCCAGCCCCTTTTTTGGAGGGGGTGGCCCCTTTTTCTTGATTCAAACGAAAGGTCTTGTGATTTCAAAGACTTTTTGTTCTACACCTATTCAGAGATTTCTTTTCTTTAGGAGATATGCTTTATATAAATATTTAGGGGCCACTCCTACAAGTCCTTAATGGGGCCTTTTACAAAAATTCAAAGTATGCATATTTTTTAAACACATTATTCTGCCACCCTTTTTTCAATATTCTTATCAAAATTTTCCCCCTTTTCGAGAATAAAACGTCAAAGATTTGACATTCTGGCCCCTTGTGCCCCCTTTAATTACGTAACATATGATCAAAATTTTATAATTATGTTGCAAATCTTTAAATATGAACATTTTTGCTTTAAAATCCTTTTAAAATTTTGATCTTTAAAGATTTTAAAGATAAAAACTTCTGGCCCCTCCAGCCCCAAATTTTGGAGGAGGTGGCCCCTTTTTTTGATGTCAAACGAAAGGTCTTGTGATTTCAAAGACTTTTTGTTCTACACCTATTCAGAGATTCCTTTTCGTTTAGGAGATATGCTTTATATAAATATTTGGGGGCCACTCCTACAAGTCCTTAATGGGGCCGTTTTACAAAAATTCAAAGTATGCGTATTATTTAGCACATTAATCTAGCCATCTTTTGTTCAATATTGCTTATCAAAATATTCACCCTTTTCGAATATGAAGCGTCAAAGATTTGACATTCTGGCCCCTTGTGACCCCTAATTACGTAACATAAAATCAAAATTGTATCATATATTGTTGCAAATCGTTAAATAAACATCTTTGCTTCTGTAATGCATCACAAAATATTGATCATTAAAGAGTTAAAGATAAAAACTTCTGGCCCCTCTGAGCCCCTTATTTGAGGAGTCGGTCCCTTTTTTTTGATATCAAACAAAAGGTCTTGTGATTTAAAAGACTTTTTGTTCTACACCTATTGAGAGATTTCTTTTCGTTTAGGAGATATGCTTTATATAAATATTTAGAGGCCACTCCTACAAGTCCTTAATGGGGCCTTTTTACAAAAATTAAAGTTGATATTTTTTACACTTTAACAAT